AAAACTCACGCCGGGCGCGTGTGCGTGCGTGCCCAAGATCCCGAGAGGAGAATGGAGGAGAAGGGATTGCGGCGTGACCTTTAATTTCACATTACCTAAGGTGGAGTGGGGGCACACAGTAGGCTAGCAAAAAAGTTTAAAAGGAAAAGTTGGGCGTGGGGGGCATCAGGAGGCGGAATAGTTAAGGCATTGGACTCCCACATGGCTGACTGCAGTTCAGGTCTTGGACCCAGTGGCTCAAAAATCACACCAAGCACATGTGAGTGCACACCCAAAATCCTGAAAGGAGAATAGAAGAGAAGGGATTGCAGTGTGGCCATACCCCTGGGAGGTGATTTCTCACTCTCTCTCTCTCTCTATCTCTCTCTCTCTGTCTCTGGCGAGCTCACATGCCTTGTAACAAAAATCTCTCTCTAAAAACAAGGAAAAGAACCAGGGAGCCGGTTTGGTGGTGCTTGTTCACTGTCTCCCTGCAACAGAGCTGCAGAAATAGACTCCCTTCTCCAGCCCCTGCCTCTCATTTCATTGACACAAGAAGCAGCCGAACTTAGTTTGCCAGTAACAACGTGTGGTGCCCCACCTTAAACAGGTGCTCACAAGGGCCCCAGCATGGAGGTGAGTTCTGCTGATTCCGAAGGATAAGAAGGAGCTAGCTGTGTGAGGAGCCAGAAGTGGAAAACCAAATGCAAAGGCCCCAAGTCCAGTGCCAGGTGGAAATGATCAGCGTCTTCGCCATGTCAACATGGATCGTCTCCCCGTGGGCTGGTATCAGTCCACACACGATGGTTCATTTGTCACGCGGACACTCTCAAATTCTCAGTTCAGTTACCAACAGGCCATTGAAGAATCTCGTTTTCTTGCACAATCCCTTAAAAACTGCCCGCGGGGCTCTCTCACTAAAGGCATACAGACTGACTCCTAAACTGATGGAAGTCTGTAAAGAGAAAGATTTTTCAATGTTTCTCCTGAAGTTTTCCAATACTTCTCCTGGAAGCATTGAAAAATGCAAATATCAGAGCCAGCAGGTGGTGTGGTGGTTAAGTTTGGACTCCCACATGGCCAACCATGATTTGAGTCCCAGACTTGCGTTCTCACTTTCTCTCTCTCTCTCTCTCTCTCGCTCTCTCTGTCTCTCTCTGGTGAGCACATGTGCCCTAGAGCAAATTAAAAAGAATAATAACTAATAAAAATTAACTAAATAATTTTAAAAAAAAAAACAACAAATATCACCTCTGAACACATTTGTGGAAGTACTGATTATAATTAAAAATTCACGTTTGATCAACATCCTAATGTGGGAGTTGAGAAGTCTGCAGTGGCAGATAAGCGTCAATTGCTCCGTCTTGCTAGCAGCAGTCATTCGGGGAGCTCTTCAGTTGCTGATGGGCAGAGTGGATGGAGTGAGCCGAGATGTAGTTAAACATACACACTGGGGAAGATTAGTAAACGCAGCAGCAGAAACACCCGCATCAGCAGCGTCTCCAGCAGGAGAATATGCAGCCCCAGAGTCAGAGAAAACCCCCACTCCCTGAGAAGGACGTGCCCCAGCTCTTCAAACCACCCCAGCAACATTAAAATGGTAAAATACTGCATACGTGAAGAATATGGTAAACATAATTGGGAGAAAAAAAGATGATAATTGAAATGAGATCACACAGGGCTGGGGTGGTCCCAATCTACCAAGACAGAAAAAGACAAAATAGGACCCACAGAGCCATAGGAAAGAAGGTTAAATGAAAATGGAGGCAGAGGTGGGGATGATGTTGCTACATGCCAAAGACCACCAGGAGCTGCCAGGAACTGGACGAGGCAAGGAGGACCCTCCCTTCCAGCCTTTAGAGCAAGCTTGGCCCCGCCCATACCTTGACTTTGGACTTCTGGCCTCCAGAACCGTGGGAGGATAAATTCCGGGTTTTAAGCTCTCAGTTTGTGGTGATCTGTTATGGCACCTGCCTTGATTCCAAGAAGCCCCCTTTCCAATTCAACGCTGGGTTCTGCACCATCTGTGCTGAGAAATCTGGGGCTCCCTAAAAATCTAAGAGAAGTAGATGTTGCTCCAAGACTCTAAACCTTTGGAAAGGGGAGAAGAGCTCCGATAGGCTTGTGATCATCAAGCCAAGTTTTCCGCTCCCCAGTTTATTCCTTGGTCTTTCCCATTGCCCTGTCGTAAATTGTATTATAAATTAGGAATTAACTCAGAGAGAATGAGGGGAGGCCATTCATTTCAGTGTGGAAATCAACCTCAGGAATTGCCTTCTTTTTGGTTCTTCAGCAAAATGAGGAGTTTCAACGGGTGGAGGAGGGACAGATTATTTTGGTACACAGACTGGATAGGTTAGGGGTTGGATGATTAAAAGTATGCCAACTTGCTGAAAATCTGATGTGCACTAAATAACTCAGGCCAGCAGAGTCCTACAGATGGACAAACACAACATGCAGGCTCTTGGGTGTGGATGCTATTTCAAGCTCCAGGTAAGAAGGAGTTCAGGAAAGTCAGCAAATTACAGGACTCTAATCCCTGAGCAGGTGCACAGGGCCAGAGCTCAGGTCATAGGAAGGAGACTCGCAGGTAGAAAGAGGGCAGCTTTCCAGAGAGCTTGGGCACGAAGGACAAGACATATGCTGGCCAGCAGAACTGAGGTGTGGGCAGGGGCTGCGCCTCAGTGATGGATGTTGGTTTCAGCGTAAAGCAAGGACACCTCCTCCCTAAGTCTCACCGTCTATTTGTAAAAGGCCTTAGAATATTGCATCCTTTGGGACCAATAGATGGTGTAATGGTTACGTCACTGGATAACCACATAGTCGACTGTGGTTCAAGTCCCAGACTTGGTGGCTTAAAACTCATGTCAGGTGTGTTCATGTGTGTGCCCAAGATCCCGAGAGGAAAATGGAGAGAGATTGCGGCATGGCCATCTCCCCTTGGGGGTTGGGTGGGATTTCTCCTTTCTGTCTCTCTGTCTCTCCAGCAAGCACATGCACCCGTAGCAAAAAATCTCTCTAAAAAAATAAAGAATATTACATCCTTTAAAACTCATCCATTCACTCTGAAAATGACATCTAAAGAAATCTCTTAGATGAATGTCAAGATTGAGCTTTGAGAATGCTCCCCAGGGCTGAGTATAGTGGGGAGAAATGGACAACCAAAATGTCTGGGTAAGTGACTCCTGATTCAACCGCAGTAGAAAATTGCCCAGCCTCTTGTGCCGTTGCTGAGAACCTCCCAGGACAGGCAGAGTGCTGGCATGTGGTTAAGTGAAAAGAGCAAGGAGTAAAGTAGTGAGGCCGTTGACTTTGTATTACCAAAATAAGACTTATCTGCTGGCTCTATGTGTATGTATCTGATGGTATATATGTATATATGCATGCATATATTAACATTTGTAACTACTAACATTTCAATGTCCATTTTTTCAGGCTTTTAAAAAATGTGTGTGTGTATATATATATATATATATATATATATATATATATAAAACATACATATTATATATATGTGTAATATATATATATACTGTATATATTGCCCTATACAATATATGCCCAGTACATATATAATCTATATATTGGTAATTACATAAATATTGGTATCTATAAATATATATGTATATCTAGAGACAGAGACATAAATATATCCACAGGAGAAAGACACACCAAAATGTTAGTGGTAATATATATGGGATTATATGTGCACACACATGTGCATCTATGTGTACATATGCACATCGTTACGGACTGGAAAATCCTGCGTTGAGGCTTTAGCCCGCCATGGGCCTGTATCTGGAGACAGGGCCTTTAAGGAAGTAACGGGTTAAATGAGGTCATAAGGGCGGGTCCCTGATGCAGAAAGATTGATGACATTGTAAGAAAGAGGTACCAAAGAGCTTGTCCTCCCCTCCCCTGAGCACAAAGAGGCCCCTGGAGGGCACGGCGGGAAGGTGGCACTCTACAGGCCAGGAAGAGCCCTCCCAAGACACCAAACCTGCTGGCACCTTCGCCTCTAGACTGTGACAAAATAAACTGCTGTTTTGTTTTAAATTGTAATCAATATTGAATTTATTTTTTTAAAGGTTTTTGCCATAGGGCGTGTATGCTTGCTAGAGAGAGAGATGGAGACAGATAGAGAGAAAGTGAGAAATCACCCCCCAGGGGCGATGGCTACGCCGCAATCCCTTCTCCATTCTCCTCCTGTGATTTTGGGCATGCACACATGCGTGCCTGGCAAGCTGCCAGGTTCGGGACTCCAACTGTGGTCGCCCATGTGGGAGTCCAGCACCTGAACCACTATACCACCTGCTGGCCCTAAACTGCTGTTGTTTAAATCGCCCAGGCAGTAGTATTTTGTTATGGAAGCTTGAGCAGACTAATCCACATACATACATACATATGGAGCATCTTTCTACATATATGTGAGTATGTACAGTTACATGTATATATATGAGATGTTTATATATGGTTTCTTATGCGTGGTTTTATATATACGGCAGTACATAGAACTCTGTATCAGACTAGAAGGGTGCTCATTCACGGAGGTGGTTCTCTCTGGGCAGTGGGGTTATAGGTGACTTTTGACTTTGTTCATTTTGCCTGCCCATATTATCTTGAGCTTTTACAGTGCACTTGCATTACTCTGTATTACCGTAAGATAATTATTATAAAATATTCTTCTGCTAGAGTTGGCTTTGGTCTTGGGAACTTGGACAAGACACGTGGCCATGGCCAAGGTGGGCAGCAGCTCAGAGGGGCTGACAACACCTTAAGCAGGACTCCGTGAGCCTACCTGAGCCTCGCTCACCACTTTAACAGGGCTCCCATGGGAAACCGGTTTCCAAAGGGTGCTCTCACGAATGCACACCTGCAGTTCAGGCTGAGGCCTGCGTGCCCCCAGGGGGGCAGTGTGTAAGGGTCACTGAAGTGAGGCTGTTCCCGGCTCTGCCCCCTGGGAGTCCTTGAGCATTCGCACAGCCTCGGTCCTGATGCTGCGTGTCGTGTCTCCTGCGCAGGCCAGCTGGACATCATCTCCATGGCCGAGACGACCATGATGCCGGAAGAGATCGAGCTGGAGATGGCGAAAATCCAGCGCCTCCGGGAGGTCTTGGTCCGGAGGGAGTCTGAGCTCAGGTTCATGTGAGTGCTTCAGGGAAGTGGTGAGAAAAGAAAGGGGTGTGGAGGGGGGAGGCTGCTGGGAGAGCCGTTGACCACCTACCGGTCCATTTCTTAGAACACTTCCCCATCCCCGTCATTCACAGCGTGTGACAGTACGTCTTCCCCTTAAAGGGTGGAGGCTTCATGAGGGCAGGGGCCTTATCTGCCTTCCTCGCTGCTGTGTCTTCCTAAATAGTGTCTGGCACTTGTGAGTCTAATTCATATTTGTCAAATGTGCAAGTAATTAGTCTTTCACATTCCATCCTTACCCCACAACTCTCCTCTACACGGATGCTCTCTATCACACACACACACACACACACACACACACGCACGTGAGACCCCTTGGCATAGAGTGAGAGAGAGAGAGAATTTCAGACCCCGGTAGGCCTTTTCAGGCTCAGGTGAGAAGCTCTGCGACAGGAATGCAACAGCTCTTGGCTGAAAAACTCCATTGACCATTGCTGTACTAACCACGGTGAGACTGGTTTGGTCACACTGGCTCCAAAGTGATCACGTTAATACCTACCAATGTCGTGGGGACCGCCGTGAGTCAGACCATATTTCGTGGTTGAGGACGCGCTCACACTTCTATTATCTACTGGTGTGTGGAATTTTTGGTTGTCATTTCTTGAGAGATAGAGAGAGAGAGGATCCCTCAGAATCTTCATTCTCACAACCCACCAGCCCTAGCCAGGTATGTGTGCGTGTGCCATGCATGTGCTCAGCACGTGCAGGGAGGTCCCAGCATATGAACCCAGGACCTTGCCATGTGGTCCTGTTGTAGCCCTGTTGAGCTACTTTCTGGGCCCAGTGTTGGCTCTCCCTTTTCTTGAACTTATTATTATTTTTTAAAATTTATTTCTCCCATGAGCAAAAGATAGAGAATACCCCTAAGAAGGTCCTCACCCTGCATTCACCCAAGCCTTAGCCAGCCCTGAGTCAAGGACACACATGCCTGACACGCTCAGGGAAGTCTCCAGACTTGAACCTTCCCACGTGGGCCAGCCTTAGAGGGCATCCTGTTTTACCTCTGTGCCACCATTTGACCCTTGTGTTGGCCCCTAGCATGACCCTTTGAAGAGTGGGTCCAAAGGCTGCTTTCCTCACACCCCACACCCCCAACATTTCGAATTATGGTTTTCAATTATGGTTTTCTGGATTGGGCTTCCCTTTCTTGACTGTTCTTTATTCTGAACTTTCCCCTGGGATCCACATTCTCTGCCTAGTCTCCCTCTCCTCCTGCCAGGATGGTGAGGAAGTAGAAGGTGATTTACCCATGCCCAGGAGCCCCTGAGAACGAGTGAGATGTGGGCTCAGGAGCTCCACATCTAGCTCCCGTGTCACAGGTCTGTGGCTTTAGGTGCAGGACAGAACACATGAGAGCTGCTATCTACTGAGGGCTGGGCTTGCTCCACTGTGTGCTATAGGCATTACATGCATTCACTCACTTACTTTAGCTTATTGAATCCTCACAAGAACCCCGATGGAGTGGCTTCTAGTCTATAGATATGTGTTATAGTCCCGGAGTTGGCAACTTAAACTCATGTCAGGTGTGTGTGTACGTGTGCCCAAAATCTCGAGAGGAGAATGGACGAGAAGGGATTGCGGCATGGCCATTCCCCCTGGGGGGAGGGGGATAATTTCTCATTTTCTCTCAGTTTGTCTCTCCACTGACCACACACACCCTATAGCAAAAAATCTCTAAGAATAATAATAATAATACAATACAATAAAAATAAAAAGCTGTTTTATAAACATGAAGAAATATTTTTAAAAATATAATCACATCAATTGCAATATACAGTGGATAGTATACATTGTAAATATATAGGAAAATGTCATTTTCCAAAATAATAGCTTCTTTATTATACCCCTCCCCATCTACTATAACCAAGCTTGGAAATATACTTTTAACATAATGATATACCATATGAATTCTCTGTTATTCAATGTGATAAATTTAATAAGTAAGGGTTTTCTTTTCTGGTATTAACAACCATGAACAAAATGAAACAACAGCACCTGAAATACTAAGACAAATTTAGGCAAGCATTTATATGTTTTGGTTCAAAATACAGTTTACACAACTGTATAAAGGATATTACCTTTAGTAATTAATTTCTGTATTTTGCAGATCACAACTAAGGGGGAAAAGATGTTTCAGATAAATTTCTATTTCTTCCAGTATGGACAAAGTGAAATTTCAAAGTTCATAAGATTATGATACAGTAGTTGATATAGTTGGATATACCACTTCCATCCTATCCCCTCCTCCCCCAAATTGTTTTGGCTCTAAAATAAAACATAACAAACTCTTGATTAAAAAAATCTGTTATGCGTGGGACAATCTATCATATACTATAGCTAACTATGAATTTATAGAAAAGAGCACATTCCATTTTCAGCACTTTTTTTTCATAAACATGCAACTCACTAGAAAGTACAAAATATTTGGCTTTCAAGAACAGTTTTGTTTTGTTTTGTTTTGAGAGGTTTTTGCTATAGGGCACATGCACTTGCCAGAAAGACAGAGAGAGATACAGAGACAGAAAGCAAGAAATCGCCCCCTCCAGGGGGTGATGGCCACGCCACAATCCCTTCTCCTCCATTCTCCTCTCGGGATCTTGGGCACGCACGCACATGTGCCCGGTGTGAAGGACAGTTTTATAAACACACACTACATCAATAAAATCTTTTCTTTCTGATTAAATTTACACTGTTATGGAAAACTGGAAGTTTTCTAATGTGTAGATATTGGATTTTTTATTATAGTGTAATACTTTGCATCTTCTGAACATAATGTTCAAGAGGAAATGTCTACACACAATAACATTCTAGACTATTAAAAACTCATTCAAATTACAGAATTTTATTGATACAGTAGATTAATAAAAAAACAAAAAAGGGAGGATAAAATGGGATAAATAATTCGGTACATTATTTTATAATACACTTTAAAATTAAAATATTTTAAATCTCTTTCTTCTTAAAAATTTTATTGCCATAGAACACTAGCTAGTGCTTCTATATTATGGATGAGGAAACTGAAGTGAGAGAGGTAAAGGGATTTGTTCAAGGTCACTAGCTGGTATGAGGCAGAGCCAGAATTTGAGTGTCTCTCTCAAAGGCAAAGCCTTTAAACCCAAGCGATTCTGCTGTCTTTATTCCCAGTGCAAGGGTCCGTTTTCTCTTTGCCCAGCTCTTCTAAGATGCAAAGACAGACTCACGGTTGGATAGCCACAATTCCACATTGTGTTTTGTCTTATTCCGCCATCTTGAGTTGAATGGAAACTGAATGGATTCTACTGAGTCGGGATTTGGACTTTTCTGTACCCTTCCTTTCTCTGGACATATAGAACTTACTTTAGAGCTGGAAATGATGAGCTCCAACTTTGACGGTCAAGGTTTGCCAACTCAGTCTGTTGGGGATTTGCTGTAGAGCCCTGTACCTATACGGACTCGAGGACCTCACTTGACACTTACTGCGCCCTTATAGTGCCAGGCTCCTGCTGAGCCTTTCGCTCGCATTGTCACACGGACTGTGCTGAGAAGAATGGATCGGGAGCCAACACCCAGCACACCTGCACGTACTGAGTCAGGCCCCCAAGGTCAGGTTCACAGACCAGCTGTGACTGAGCACCCTGCTGGCTGGTATAAGTTCCCATCTCAGTATCCAGTATGTCTCCTCTCATCACCTGCCCTTAGCTTGGCCTCTGCTTTCCCTGTGCAGAATGGTGTTTAGAGATCTCTCTCTTGAGGTCTGGCAATTTTATGAACTTTATTTGAAAAGGTCATTAAACCCCTCAGAATTACAGAACCACCTCCGTAATGGCTGGCAAACGTCTAGGACCTAACACCAAAGCCTGCGTTCATCCCTCCCTGACCCTGTGTGCCATCCGCCCCCAGTCTTCCTGCTGCCGCCCATCTCCCTGCCTCTGCCATCCTGTCCCGTTGTAGGCAAGAACTTTCGGAGACTGTCAACAACCTCAGGCTCATTTTCTTGTCTTCATTGCAGCAAGGATCACATCATTAGTTTTTAATAACTCCTCTCGCAGGCCCTGGGTGCCCGCCTCAGCTTTTCTCCGTCTCATGTACTCCCTTGCTCCCGCTGTTTATCTGGGTTTCAGATAATTAAGTATCTTCAGCTTCCAAATGAGTCTTGGGAGCAGTCATCTCCGTTTTACACCTGCTTGCTGGGTTTTCATAAGAGGGATAGTGCGCCCCGTCTCTTGGTTTGCTCTGGGCATGGCTTTATATCAGCCATGGTCAGAAGTGCAGCAGGCTGGGGCGGTGGCCATGCCAAGGGCACGTTCAGGAGCATAACCCCTGGGCTCCAATATTTCCGGAGCCTGGGTCTGAACTCCAAGCACTCCTTTTTATTAAGTAGTTCCAAATGTGGTGAAGAGGTCAGGCCTTGGGAACCTAGCAGAGGTTCAAGGTGGAGGAATAGAAAGAGCATGAATTGTAGACAGCAAACTTTTCCTTTTTTAAAAGTCTATTGATATTTATGGTAGAGCACACACACAAAAGAGAGACAGAGAGACATACCTTTACAGGATCTTACCACATCATGCTCCCCTTCTCCAAGCACTCAGGATCTTGGGTATGCACATGCACGCCTGCTGTGTTTCCAGTCTACCAGGTCGGGGATCAGAACCTACAGCCAGCCCCATGGTTTCCAACTCTGTGGTGCAGTACACTACTGACCCCGCCATAGGGACTGGGCTGGCAGGGTTTTGAATACTTGCTATGCTGTGAAGTATTATAAATGTATTGATGTATTTATTTATTTATTTAATCGTCCCTACAACCATGTAGACAGATCATCTCTCTCTCTCTGTCTCTCTCTCTCGGACACAACATTTTATACATGAGAAAACAGGCACAGGGAGGTCAAGTCACTTGTCTGGGGTTGCAGGGGTCCATTAAATAGAGATGAGTGACGTAACTCAGGCGTCTCAGTCCAGAGTCCATGGTTG